GAAATTAGGTCATAAAGTGGCGTCTGGCATTATGCAGGAGTCGACCACCGTGGACAAAGATCTAATTCAGAAAATAAGTTACTGTCCGGTCTTTATGAAATTCGCATTATTCGAACCTCCTGGACAGACGATTACCGCATGAAATTAGATCGCAAAGTCGATTTATTTCCACCATCACCATCGTGCTGTCACAAATAGACGCATCCAGATTCTAGGTCGCAGGCGCAGACCAGCCTGGACAAAAACCTATTATAAATAAGATGTTTTTGTCCGGTTCTGATAAAATGCGCAGCCGTTAACAAAAGCCACTCCATGACTTTAACGTCCAAAGATCTAAATGGCTCCAGTCAAAGTCTTGTCGCATTAGAACCAGCGTTATCCAGAGACCGACCTCCTGGGCTGGTGATTACCACACGAAATTAGGTCGAAAAGTCGATTTATCTCCACCACCACCGCCCTGGCACAACCAGATATTCCAGATCCCAGGCACGGAACACAAATTGAAACGTCCGCCTGCAGCTGACCGGCCATTTTTTATACGCCTGTTTTCAGCTGTTTCACTTTTCCGGATAGTTGCGGTCAGTAGCGCGCTAAGAACAATCTCAGACAGCGCACAGTATGATAACTTACTGATGTCATTTTGAGAGTGCCGCACTTGCAATTTCAGGGTGACGTTTCTTAGAAGTACAGTCGGTGATATGTGAAACAAAATATTATTTCACCATATCTACTAGTGCTTGTACTTGTTACTTCTAATGTACTAGTCTAGTATTTTTTATGAAACTAGCTGACCCGACAGAGGTTGTCTTATGTATCAAATGGGATGAATAAGGAAAGGGTAAATATATGAAATATAGGTAATTGTATAGCGACGTGTTTGTACCGCCATGTGGCTAGCAAAATACGTTGGCCGCACTGTCATTCCCCTATCAACTTACCTTGAAAATAGGTATAAAATCATGTCGAATGACTTTTGTGGCGCCAAATGACGTCATTTGAAAGCAGATATTGTATTGCTGGATATGAGTCAAAAAATGTATAGCATCTGGCCCATTTCCGGAAACCAAAATAGCTCTGGTGATGGTTCCAATCAAATCAATTTGACATTTCCACTGCCGCAATATACCTGTAATCCGGCGGTTCATTTTTCAACTTGAAATCCTTGCAATGTGGACGCAAACTTCATTGGTCCAATAGCAAAGATTTGTTGTGAACTGGAATCGCTAGCCACATCACAAGTGAATGCAGCTCTAATGGGCTTAAATGCGACACTTCTACGTTGTTGAATTTCAGTTCTTCGATCCCATTCAACTTCATTTCTCCCTTCTGGTTGCTCGTCAGTTTGACTTCTCAATTTATATCTTTGACAGCATTCTGTACATGTAATTGGTGGCATTCTGAAGAATCACAATTTAAATATACAGGGTGGCGCAGAGGAAACGGATGTTTTCTGAGTGAATAGTATTTGGGTTGACCTTGCCTCACCGGTACCAGAGAACACAGGCAATGCAGTTGTAGCCATGGCACCGTGGACAACTGAGCCTCGCGTGTTTGCCGTCGAGCAATTTTTTCGAAACAATGATTCTGTAGTTACCGTGCAACGTTTATTCCGTCGCCAGTTCAATGTTGAACGCCAACGGTCAATTCCAGGTCTGTAGTGAAGAGGAAGTCACCTGGCCTTCCCAGTACTGATCGAACACCAGGCAATATCGAAGTAGTGAGAAGAGCGGTCCTTCTTGATAGTCCTCAACGATCCACTACGCGACAAGCTCCAGCTCTGGGTATGTACCTGTAATGCTGACCATTTTTGCTGTAGATCCTAACGTCGTCATAATGATGAGTGACGAAGCACACTTCCATTTAACGGGATATGTAAACAAGCAGAGCTGTAGGTATTGGGCGGCCGAAAATCCACGAGAGCTACACCAACGACCGTTGCATAGTGAAAAATTGACTGTGTGGTGCGGAATTAGTAAATTAGATATCATCGGTCCTTACTTGTTTTAGGAGGAAGAAAGAGCAGCAACAATTACTTCAGCACGTTATGTTCACACGTTACAAAATTTTCTGTTACCCGAACTTCAACGGCAACAAGTAAACATGGGAGAACTGTACTTCCAACAAGAGGTATCACAGCTCACACAGCGAGAGCATCAATGGAATGTGTTCGACAAATGTTTCCTGAACATGTCATCTCCCGTTTCGGCGATGTTCCATGTCCTCCACGCTCCCCAGATTTGTCTGCATGTGAATTTCTTATGTGGGGTTACCTTAAGGCTAAAGTTTACCCTCGCAAACCTCGTACGTTACAGGAACTGAAAATTGCTATTCGTCAAGAACTCGCAAGAATACCACAAGAAATGATCTTACGTGTAATGCATGACTTTCAAGAGAGTGACATAATTTACAATAATTAAGTTAAAAGAGCACTATGATTACTTTATTTAGTTGTAGTTAAAATAAAATTACGTAAGAAATGTTATGCTTACATGAAAATCATGCGCTTGCTCTACACCACCCTGTATCAGGCGTGATTGCGGTGAACTAACTTCTACCCTTGTTAATTATTTTTGAACAAATACATCTCAGAAAACTCACTGAACAAACTGAAAACTCAATAAAAGCTCTAATCGAATGGACTGTGCACTACTAATCAAGCCAAATATTTCATCATAAGGGCATCTAATTTTTCCGAATGTTTTTTGTTAAAAAAATATTACTTTGCATTGTGTTTATTCGTAGGAAAAAATTAGATGCCCTAATGGTATTTGACAAGGCGCTTTCATGATTAACAGATTATTCTGCATACATATAGCTTACAAAACGTACTACCTATTATACATGCATACATAATAAATATGTATAGTCAACGCCAAACAAAGTGGCGTGCACGTCATCACGATAAAAATTCCCCGACCTAATGCCTAGGTTTCTATCACAAACAATTGCTCTATTGCAGTTTCATATTAATGTGATATATAAATTGTAAAATGGTCATTACTCTCTTATTATGGTTAATAGTCATATAAACATTGTTATTAAAATATCACATAAGTTGCTTTCTGATAAATTTAGACGCATTATGCGAAATAAAATGTTTTGCAAACGCTCCAATCACTTATCGACATGTAAACGCACTAAACCGATTTCGCAGCGTTGACACATTGTCACCTTGAAACTTATTTAAACTGGGAACTGACATTTGTATTAATTTTGACACTGAATCAATTTGTGGCATTTCAAATCTTTATAAATCCTTTGGCCCCGCATACTGTAAATCAACAACTGTTTGTTTCAAAACAAAATTATTCATTTTACGAGTAGATAAAGGCAATTTTGGTATATAAAGATGCCCAAACAGTTAAATAGTCGGTGTAAGGAACTCGTGGCCTCGTTAATGCACTACTTTGAGCAAGAAAGGGACAACAACGGGCCTTTGTTGCCTTTAAATGCTGTTCAAGAGGTAGGTTACTAATAATTATAATAATTATATGTAATGTATATTAATAATAGTGAAATTTTATTTCATTTTTTGTAGCGTGTTGCTGCTGCTTTAAAAATTAGTTTAAGGACAGTTAGTCGTATTTCCGAGGGTGTGAAAAGTGATGCAAATTTAGAATCGCCCAAGAAAAAGCGGAGTTATATTAAACGTGTAACCAACACAGCGACATTGGATACAAGTGCCATTCGAGAAGTGTATCACAAAAGTAAGATCTTATTATAATGACTTATCAGAAATTTGCATTAATTTGTTAACTAAATTATAATGTGTTCATTGTGTATATTACACATGGTTTCAGAAGAACAAGTTACGATACAAACTTTATGGTCTCGATTAAGAGATAGGGCATTATTTGATGGTAGTGCCACGTCTTTAAGGCGGTTGCTTAGAGATCTTGGATTTAAGTGGCTTAAGGACAATCCGCGACGAGGGCTCATGGAACTACCAAGTATAGCTTTGAAAAGGGTGGAATTTCTAAGGCAATACAATCAAGACAAGCTTGAGGCCTTATACCAGTTTGTCTTCCTCGATGAAACTTTGATATTTCAAAATGGGACCATAGGTCGCTCTTGGCAAAATGGAAACCAAAAAGCGTGAAAGCTATTAAAACAGATGGTAAAAGGTATGTACTTTTACACAATTTGCACTATAAAATTTAAAACTAATATATTTTAGATACATTATATTACATGCTGGAAATGAAAATGGGTTTATTGAGGGTAGTGAAGCGATATTTTCTTCGAAAACAAAATTGAGCGATTACCATGGAGAGATGAACCAGGACAATTTTTTGAAATGGTTTCAACATCAGTTATTAGAAAAATTGGAGAGTCCATCTATGATTATACTGGATAACGCCCCTTATCACAGCATGATATTGAACAAAGTGCCCAACAATGCATGGACAAAAAAAAATATCCAAGACTGGTTGACAAATCAAAACATACCATTTTTAAACACAATATTTAAAACAGAGCTATTGAGTATTGTTGCTCGGTACATAATGCTTCTTAATTATATATATTTTGGTCGACAGTTTATATTTCTTTTGTTTATTCCTATTCTTAAAATAACTGCTTTTTTAGAAACAAACCACCTAAAATATACGTGATTGATGAATTGGCGGAACAACATGGGCACAAAGTTCTTCGTCTGCCTCCTTACCATTGTATATTTAACCCTATTGAGTTAATTTGGGGCATAGCAAAAGGTTACTATAACAGACATATTGGTAGAGATGGTAACAGTGAAAAAGACTGTTTGGATATGTGGAACGAGGCTCTACAAACGGTTACCCCAGACATGTGGAAAAATAGTGTTCGACATACTGAGCAAGAAATTTTTAAATGGTATGAAAGAGAACGAATTTTTGATCGACCAGACATCGAACCTTTAATAATCAACTTTGAGAGTGATGAAGATTCAGATTCAGACAGCGCTGAAGAAAGAAACTCCGACTAACTTTATTGTACAGAAAAAGCTTACACCAGTAGCTTACCTAATTTTAGAATGCATTTTTCTGTGTGAATTCTGTAAAATAAATACCATGCATAAAATTTGGAGGACCCCATTTGGATTTTTATTCAGTACCTTTAAGCTATCAATTAAATATGGTAGTTTCATAGTGTCATCTGATCAATAATTGTCATACTTAATGATTATGCAAGTACAGATCTATAATTTTATTATACTATTATTTTTGTTCTCATTTGAGGTTAATATTGCTTATAAACCTAGATATGTAAATAATAAATTTTATTATTTTACAAAAAGTTTGGCAACAATGTAAATTTTTCAACACACCCACCTTGATGACGTGCACGCCACTTTGTTTGGCGTTGACTATAGGTATTAATTTGCAAACTGGTAACTTATTTAATCACAAAATACTACAAACTTAATTATTTATGGTAAGAATTTCTTCCAAAGCGACTCATTTTCAACACATAAGCTGACTAGTACTGTTTAAAAACAATATTACAAAATTTATTGACGATAAAATCAGAAAAATTGTTTAGCGTCGTTTTCTGATATCCTAGGAGACCATAATTACTTGCTATCAAAGGTATTGTAACTTTGGGTAACAACAGCTGTCAAGTTTTTCCAACTAGAAACCATTCGTAAGTAATTCAAAATTGCGCGTTTGTGATTGGGATTAAGACGAGTGAAATACTGCTAAAAGATAAAAGAGATTTTTTCGCGAGATCCCGTAGTGAACCGGAGCGGGAACAGATGGAATTTCCCCGTCCTCTCGAAGTTTTGACAGTTTCAAGTTCAACCGGGAGTTGTTAGATGGTGCATGTTGTGCAAAATGTTTGCTTTAAGCTCCTTGATAAACTTAGCTGCCTTTTTTAAATCTGAAATAACAAGACTGATCGTTTTTTGTGCAATCAATGGAATCAATCATTTGATATGAAAAGAGCGGTTCATATATCTTCGATTACCATCTCCCTCGTGGTGGACCTGTTCCTCCATTTATGATTTAATAATTTAACTCAATTTTCAGCACTGCCTAGACAAATTTTCAATTGTGATGCCTGTTTTTAAATAACATTGACATAAGACTTGTCACCTGGTAGTATCTCACAGACGTTAGGCGGGTACCCGTACCACGTGATTTTTTGTACATTCGGACGACGTCACATCCCTCTTCCCCTATTGCCTGTGCTACACCGTGGACTCGCGAAAAAGTCTTTAATATAAATTTGCGATGTGCGAGCTGTCAAGTTGAAAATGGTAGAAGTATTGGAAGTCAATTAAGCAAAGAAACGTATTTTCATCCGCCATTTTTACTCATACAGTTAACTGACAAATATAACAAATAGTCAATACTGCAGTTTCTTTTGTAGGGGCCATCACAAAGTACGGATGGTAAAAAATGAAAGTCTAAAAACGAAAGCACCGTGTTTCCATAAGTAATTTTCTCTCACATAGCTAACTGTCAATAGATGTTGGAATAAAGATGGCGGAGAGCAGTGCCTGTCTCTTTTGGTACTTGAGATATTTTTTCTGCTGTGCGCGCTCCATGCGCAAGCGAACTGTCAAACGCGCGTAGCTCAAATAGTAATTAGGTTTTCACTGATTTCTCAATCTTCTGTGCAATTTTCTTGATTTTTCTTCCCGTAAAAACCTTCTATACAGTATTAGGAAACTTTTAAAAGAGAGATGACTGAAATCGGTGAAGTCGTTCTCAAGATATGGCGTGACCACGGGAAATCGGGATTCAATTTATATATATATATATAGAGAGAGAGAGAGAGATAGATAGATAGATAGATAGATAGATAGATAGGGTGCAGTTGTAGACCCCTTATAAATGGACCTTTTTTATGACTGGTTTGAGAATAATTCGTAACCTACTTTATCGTAAATAAATATGTCGTTTTAGTAGATAGGCAGATAGATAGATAGACATTTCTATTTAACATTCACGTACCCTTATGCTTAAAATCAACCGAACATTGGAAGAAAAAAACAACTAATGTCATACAGAAATAATCAATTGTGTAACAAAAATAATACTCGAAAGAGTTACATAATAAATTTGATCTGCAGAATTGGTTTATAAACAAGCAGAATATGAGATAAACTAGTTGACATTGATACAAATGATGGGAAAAGGTGATTTGGTCAAAATATTCGTTTGGGCACACAATGAAACACCATCGAATTTGTATTGTTACGCTGAGGCACGGTAAAGGGAAGTTTTCCTAACAATTATTATAGTCCCATAAACCAGTTTATATGTATAAAAAGGCTGCTGTTACAGAAATGCGTCTTGTGGTCAAAGATACAAATGTTGCTTCATTAAGCAGCAAAGAGTAATCGATCTATCTTTCCAAGATGTGTTGCATATTGTAGGTACCAAATCAAGAGACCATAATACGAGTATAACTTGCTGCGTACATAACTTGTGTATAGAATTTTCAGGACTGAGACAGATAACAGAGAACTCTCTAGCGCTTTTCGTGATGAACCCCAGCACTTTATTAGCTGACGAAACACTGATATAGTTGTAGTTACCATTCTTGGCGGTTCGTACCATGGGCGGAACACTGCGCAGACTAATCTTCAGTCTTCAGTCGGTAACAGCGGACCGCTGTTTTCATTCTCTTCCTGGAAATAGATACTCTTATAAATCTGTCACGAGCTGTCGGCCTTCTCCATTGATCGTATTTCCGGGAATTGTACAATATTATATTGAAGATTGATAACAGACAACTCAAATTGCACGCCGATGTCAAGTAAGTTCTCACTCTGACAAATATGATTGAAGGGCACTCATACGTAACGACAAAGTTTTCGAGTTTGAGTCACACAACTGAGCTTACCGAACAAACGTTCACACACAGGGGCAGGTTGCATGTGTATGTATGATTGGGATAGAGATACAGATACAAGGGATGCTGATAGTCTTACTGTGACTCGCCCAAAACAGAGACTACAACTATACCTATATTACCTATATAGACAGAAAAAACATTTTATCCTCGAGGAGAATTTCTAATTCATCGTCATGCTTTTGATGACCCAATAAAGCAAGTAGCTGTTCTTAGATTCTCCAAAGTTCTACGTTTTATGAAACTGGCACTTTTTTGCTGTTGGTGAAACGAGCTGACAATGATGAAACGCTAGGGCGTTTCGTGTTAGGCTGCATTAACCCTCGATTCTCACGGACAATTGGATGAACAGAATGACACTGTCATTCTGATTGCCGCGCCTGCCAATTAGAAATGTTCGACAGTCAGCGCTTTTGCGTTGGCATGCAATTTGCCCGGATATAACACGGAACTGGAAAATACACCCACCTCAACTTCAGTGGCGTACAAGCTAGGACACTAAAGAAAATTTGCACGTGATAGAGACCAAACTTGATAAAGATTGGACAACAATTGAAGGATCGGACAAGTTAATGTTTTTCTCAGAATAAGACAAAGTCGCTTAATGTAGACGCAACAAAAATCATTCCAAATAATAGTTCCTAGGACACGGTGATGGCGGAAGTTTCTATAGTTGTAGTCACCGTCTATATATCTCCATCTCCCTCATACATACACATGCAACCTACCCCTGTCTGTGAAGGTTTGTTCGATAAGCTCAAAAAAATACGCTTTTTAGCTGTATGTCTCCATCTTGGAAACTTTGTCGTCACGTTACTTGACATCGCGCTGCAATTTGAGGTGTCCTGTTATACATATTCAATACAAAATTGTATAATGCCCAGAAATACGATCAATGGAGAAGACTGACAGCTTGTGCTAAATTTATTAGAGTATTTCCAGGAAGATTATGAAAACAGCGGTCCCCTGTTACCCACTTAATGCGTACTGGAGAGAGTAGTAGATACGCTGAAGATTAGTCTGCCCCCATGGTACGGAGACTCGATCTGCTTACTTATTTCATCTGGTGTTGATGACGTAACCGCCAAGAACGGTGTCAACAACTATACTAAGCTTTAGTCATAGCTTGAGCATTAAGACATTTCTTAGTTTGGACTATATCATTGAGTAACGTATTCAACCTGAAGTGTCACAGCTATATTTCTTCTCTTTGCAATAATTAGAAGTCTACTTTGAAAATGTTAATATCTGGTAGATGGCGCTAGAGCTATACGCTCGTAGACAGTTGGCTACATCGCCATCTATGAGACACTAACCTATTCAAAGTAGATTCCTAATTATTTCGGAAAGGAGAAAGATAGCTGTGATGGATTCTCGCCGATAACGCTATGGTATCTGATTTTATCTCGGATAGTTTTTCGGATGCGAGAATAAAGTATTGGCTATCTTCAGGTGGAATACGTTAATCACTGACTAAATGCAAAGATTATATGCATATACAAGCAAGATAGAGATCTCAAAACAACAAGCTAGATTCTCGGGAGACTTGGGAACGGCACAAAGTATGGAAAAGCGCCTAGACCTGTGACCGCATACGGAGACGGCGCCGTTTCGCGAGGCCATCAGTACGGTATACTTGTAAGTCTTGGAGATATCTGTGAAAACGGTCACGGAAATTTTCAGTTATTAACTTTTTTCACAGTGAAACCTCAACGTTGGTCTAACATCTAAATATACGGAGGTACCATGCGGCTATAGGGACAATACATGAAAGAAAATACACATGTGACATGAACGTATAGTTTGCGAAAATTAAAAGTTAGCCAATTTTCAAAACAAGATTCGCAAAATAAACTAAAGTACTCTTCGGAACCTTGTAGGGAAAAGCCTTGAACTTCATTTAGACAACTGGCAACCTCAAAAGTATTTTTGACCAAGTTCTTAAGCATTGATGATGACAGTTGTAGTCTTCTTCAAGCTGCTAAACAGGTGCTTTACATTAAAAAAAAATGAATTTGTGAGTTTTTCAGAATTTAATCTTTATATCCTTTTTCTGACCACTCTGACTATTTTGTATTCAAAACCACAGTAAATCGTACTAAAACAGGTCCACTACTATGAGAAATCTGTTACAAATCATCCAGCAAAGGAAAAACATGAGAAAATTGCTATTGTTCATTGTACTACATT